TAACGATCTGTAAAGTGTTGTCAGCGTGAAGGTCGTGCAGGCTCCTGGGGACGGGGCGTTGCCGTTGGCGACGGGTCGGGTGTTTTGCACACACAGGCGGCCCCCTTGTGGTCTCCAGTTCCTCCGTTTTTCGCTGACATCGGCACTCTGGCAGGCGGAGACCCACTTTTAGGATACCGCAGTATGTCGCAGGCGCACGCCGCCGCCTGCTCAGAGTTTACAGACCGGTGAGAAAGAACATACGGTATGAGTGGGCCCGCAGGGTATTAAAGAGAACCTGTCACCAGATCAAACCAATTGCAGGTTAAAGCACCAAAGCAAATCAAGGATTTGTCACGTGTACTTGCTGTGTTTCCGTTGTATATTCTTTTATTCGATGCGCCTTTCAACTTGTCTGCCCCAGAAAGAGTCCATTCCCTAGCCCCGCCCCCTCCTTCCATGTCACAGCCCTCTCCTCTTCTGGGAGTGTCTAATCTCTGTCTGTGCTGGCCCAGCTCCTCCACCTTGTATGTAGCAGGCTGTGGAGAAGTAAAAGGGAATACTATAGAGTGTCACTTGTCAGAGTGCCGGGGCCGCTGACATGACATCCAAGATGGCGGCACCGGGAATCAGTCTCGGGGCATTTACAGGTAAATAACATCAAATACACACATACAGGGGTCTAGTTATCAATGCTTTCACCCAAGATTCACACAACTTTCACTCATGATTCACACACTCTTCAAATGTAATCTTAGGTGCAAAATGTGTAAATGCGCATATAAAGTGTTGTCAGCGTGAAGGTCGTGCAGGAGTGCCTTCACCAAAGATTCACCAAAGATTCACCAAACTTTCACTTATGCTTTACACATGTTTTAGACTGAATGTTGGGTGACAAAGGGGTAAGTGCGTAAAATGTGTGAAATGCACATATAGGGGTCAATTTATCAATGCTTTCACACAAGATTCACCCAACTTTCACCCCTGATTCACACATTCTTCAAATGTAATTTTAGGTGGAAATACCCATATAGGGGTCTAATTATCAACATTTTCACCCAAGATTCACCCAACATTTGCTCATGATTTACACATTTTTTTTAGACTGAATGTTGAGGGACAAAAGGGTAAATGCGTAAAATATGTGAAATGCATATATAGGGGTCCAGTAATCAATGCTTTCACCCAACTTTCACTCCTGATTCACACATTATTCCAATGTAACCTTAGGTGAGAAATGTGTAAATATGCGCATAGGGGTCAATTTATGAATGCTTTCACCCCACTTTCACTCATGATTCACACATTCTTCAAATGTAATTTTAGGTGGAAATGCCCATATAGGGGTCTAATTATCAAAAATTTTACCCAAGATTCACCCAACATTCACTCATGAGTTACACATTTTTTAGACTGAATGTTGAGGGACAAAAGGTTAAATGCGTAAAATATGTGAAATGCATATATAGGGGTCCAGTAATCAATGCTTTCACCCAACTTTCACTCCTGATTCACACATTATTCAAATGTAGTCTTAAGTGAAAACTGTGTAAATGCGCATATAGGGGGTCTATTAATCAATGCTTTCACCCGAGATTCCCTCAACTTTCACTCTTGATTTAAGCATTTTTTTTTTAGACTGAACGTTCACGGAAGATTGACACATCGCTCCATTTCTAGCCATATTCATTTAAATCTTGGGAGAAAAGTGTGTGAATCTTGAGTGAAAGTTGAATAAATCTCAGGTGCAATTCAGTAGGTCAAGTTGGCCAATAGAGAGGATCAGTGAACCACCCGAACGTTCTACAATAATCAATAATAATCTACCGAGCTGCGTCGGTATGCTTGCGGTGAATGTCTGCGATGTTCTACATCCGAGGAACGGCTTACGGGAGGAAGGAGATTTCTCTTCTGCCGAGAGCTGATCTGGGTGAATGTGGTAACCCGATGCCTTCTATAATGAGGACACAAAGTTGCCGATTCTGCAAAGATTCGGGGTCACCGGCTGCTCAGACTCTGACTTCCTGTCTGTCTGTCTGAAGGTGACACATTGTATCTCTCTGTCCTGTTATCTATTAGGCCGGGTTCACACACAACGCAAGCAAAATTGTATATTGCGTATATACGCGGCTATGCGCGTATACACGTGCGTATGCGCGCGTATTTACGAGCATATATGCGTACATGCGTGCACTATATGCAATCCCAGAATGCATCACTCCTTTTAATGAGCTGTATGCATGTACGCACGTTTACGCGTAAATACGCAGAAATACGCTGCCCGGACGCATCTCTGTTCCATTCTGTTTTTGCGCATATATACGCTACGCAAATATACGACTCCATACGCGGCTGTGTGTATGGAGCCATTTATTTGCATAGGTTGCATATGGTACAGCACGTACGCGCGCATACGTGCGGCAGTGTGAATGAGGCCCTAGGCTGGGTTCACACCCGGGCGTATTTTTTATGCTCGTTTTTTAGCACGTTTTCCGTTCAGTGAAACGCGCGTTTCACTGGCGGTATAATTTTTTTTTTCCTTATTCTCTCTATTTAAAAAAATAAATTCACTTTCAAACTTCCCGCCGGCTCCGCCCCCGGCCTGTGACGCAGCCGCTCGCAAGGGACGGAACCCGGAAGCCGCCGGAGGACACAGCGGGGCTCGCGTACAAGGTAAGACCTGCACGCTGTATTCCTGAGTGCGGCTCGGGGGTACCGCTTTGTTTACCCCCCCGCGTACAAGGTAAGACCTGCACGCTGTATTCCTGAGTGCGGCTCGGGGTTACCGCTTTGTTAACCCCCGATCCACACTCGGGAATACCAATGGAAACGCGCGGAAAAACGCGCCAAATAAGCTCCTGTACTTGTTTGGGCGTAGGGCGTTTTTCAGCGCGTTCCTAGGCGCTGAAATGCGCCCAGGTGGGAACCACGCCCATAGGAAAGTATGGGATTTCACTTGCTGGGCGTTTTACAGCGCGTCGATCGGCGCTGTAAAGCGCCCAGGTGTGAACCAGGCCTAAGGGATGAGCTGGATGTTCGACTCAAACATCGCTACTTCCTGTGTGCGCCGAACACAAAAACTATAATGGTGTTCGGCGGGCTATTCGACCGCTGAACGCCCCGCAAGGTAATGCGCATTCTGAAGCCCAAATTGGCTAAAGGCTTGCACCTGACCACAGGCCAGAGCCAAGACTTTGCCCAATCATGGCTCACCTGTCAGATGACGTGAAATCTTTTACTGGGGGGGCAGCACAGTGGATGGCTTAGTGGTTACCACTCCTATCTTGCAGCACTGAGGCCCATGGCTCAAATGCCAGCCGGGACACAGTCTTCATAGACGTTGTACGTTCTCCTTGTGCTTGCATCTCCAGATATGCTGGTAATGTAATATGACATCATGGCCACTAGATGGAGCTGAGGATGTGCATGTACTCTCTATGCTCCGCTCCGCCATCTAGTGGCCATGATGTCATATTACATTGAAAATAACATTTCAAAACACACTCTTGTATGGAAACAGCTACAGAACGTTCGTTTTGGCGTATATCCGCACAGAATGAACGCTCGCAGATACTCACATGGGTGAAGGCCCTGCAAATAGTTTATAAACAGACCCCATATTGTTGTCTGCAAAGCGCTGGGCAAGCGGTTGGCGCTCTATAAATCCTGTATAATAGTAAGAAAATTAAAGCAGATGTAAACTCAATGGCTAAAATCTCGTACAAGCTTTAATATGTTAATAAAACGTCAAAATTATTTATTTAGAATCTGCAGCTTTTATAAAAAAAAAAATACCAGGAGGCTTATTAAGCCAGTTAAGGCACTTCCTGTTATAGGGTGACAACGTTCTGTTCCGGTCTCCCAATTGTGCTCCTGCGTTGTCACCCTGTCAGATGGAGACTTTTTCTTTCTTCATTCCCATTGGCCTCGATAGAGACGTCGGCGTTCTAGTGTCCAGATGGGGATTATGAAATTACGATTTAAAGCGTCGCTCCGGCCACTGCAATGCATTCCGCAGCCGCAGCGTGCACTGTCCTTCACCCAGGGGGATTAAAGCTGTACCCCAGGCATGCAAGAGAAATAGACATACGAGTCCTTTTGCAGGTGCAGCAGGTTTTCTCATTACATCCGGCCACACAGATCAGCCACTGACAGCTCATTTCTCCCTCCCAGGCGCCGATGAACCCCCTTGGCCCGTCACGTGACCTTGACACGTGACGCCAAGATGACAGCTTCGGGCTCCGCCCCGCAATCTGACGAGGATGGGCGTGGCCGCCTCGCAGTGACGTCGCTCTTTGTTCTGTGGATGCGCGCGGGCGCCAGTGACGGGATTTTGGCGCACTTCACGTGCACGCGCCCCTCATAATCCCAGGCGCAAGTTCACTATAAAAAAGCTTTACGTAAAGTAATTGCCAGGGAGCTGAATGTGCAACATGAAAAAAAAAAAATATAAAAACAGCCCGCCCGCTTTGCTGGAAGATATTCTTAGTGAGAGCCCGTCCGCATAAAATTCCCTTTCCACCCCACCGTGTTTTTTTAAAGCCTAAGTAAAAGATGTTTTCATTACGAGAAGCTTAATGATAGCTATAGAAAGTTATAGTTCATCTGCTGTCATCCATGTTGGTTAAACACATCAACAAGAGTGATTATATTTTGCCCGCCCGCACAGTGTTTGGAAACATAGAAAACAGTGATACTTTTGTTGCTAAGGCCCGCCCGCATAAACTATCTGAGGTACTCGGTTTCCTCGATAGAAATCGCAAACTTGGGGGAAAATGCCAGCGATGGCAAGTAACCAGATCCCACAAAATCGGTAAAAGGAAAGATCCCGTTTTAGTAAACCACAATAGGTGTAACAGGCGTAATTTATAGGATTTGCCCGCCCGCGTTACTTTGCACCCCAGAGCAGAATGCTTGGAAATGAAAGCTGACAGTGTGTGTCTGGGGCCCGCCCGCTGCATATTTCGGCCGCGTATCT